TGAAACATATGCATTTTATTTTTACACCACAAAAACATGAAAAACAGTGCAACTGGCACAGCATGAAGAGGGAGAATGCTCTGCATTTTCTTTGGAGCCATGCTAACACGCATACCAAAAACCTTTCTAAAACACCGCAAAACACACCACAAGCCTCACCGAACGTCTCCTTGCTACCGCGACCTCGCCCACAGGAAGCCGCGACCGCGTGGCAGCAGGGAAAATGGCCGCGGATCCGGTTCGGAGGTTGAGGCGGGTTCGAAACCCGAGGTAAATTTTTCCTGCCGAAGCTGGTTGTAACCCGAAATGTGCGTTAGTAGAGGCGTTCATATCCCGAGGTACCACTGTATCTGATTCTGTCCCAAACTCCCCCCCTCCAAATCTTTCAATTACCAGACATTTTTCAGATAGGCAGAAGAGGCCCTCAATTCTGCCACCTCCAGTTACCCAGATTAAAAGATTTATTTCGAGCCTTGGAAATTTCAGTTTGAGATTTCTGGGGGTGGTGTTGTTTTAATTAATTTAATTTAATTAATTTAATTACCAAAAAAAAACCCCAGAAAATTTCTGGTTATTGTGTATCATTAAAAAGGGCTATTTAGAGTTCTTTTTAGTTTGGTGTAGTGAAGGCTTCTAAGACTGCACCGTACTCAAGATTATTTATTTTGGTGTTTCTCATGTGTTATTTTTTGTCAGCCTTTTCTAGGGATAAGTTTGATTTTTTTTCCCCCTTATCCCAAAGCTAACTTTATAGGCAATAATTTAAAATTTATTTCTGCTTAACTTTAGATAAGAAATAAAGGGAGAAGATTGAGAAAAATCTTGAACTGTTTGGCTTTTCTGTCCATAACAGGAAAAAGATTGGAATAGAAGAGCAAGGACAGAATTTTTGAGAATGGTAAATAACAAAGCTGTACTGATGAAAGTTTTTAGGGAAGAGAATGGTGTGCTTATTGTAGATCTCATGAAGCCTCCAGCAAACAAAATAAGTAGTGACATGCCTGTATCCCTCAGAGATGCTCTAGTTTTCTTGGATTTAGCAAGGTATGCATAACAAAAAGCTTTTCAAAATCATAACTTAAAGAATTCTGATATTAAACGTGTTTCAGATAGAGATCTACCATAGATGAATATGATTTAAGATAGAATATATTTGCTTCTTCTGAGTTTATAACTTGAATAGATACTACTACTTAACTGGTAAATTTCTATCCTCCAATATATTTCTTTTCCTTACTTCAAATTTTCAAATGCAAAATTAATTAGAATAAGTCAGCATAGATTTATAACAAATACAACTTGTAATTTCTTTTGGGGGGATAGTAATATATTGTGGGATTGTTATGGATATAGTTGATCTTTATCTCAGCAAAACTTTTGACAATATCCCATGACATTTTGATTAGAAAGGTAGTTAGATGAGAAGTGGATGGCACCTATACTAGGTGGCTCCATAGCTGTTTTGAAACTGTTCTCAGAAATAGTCATGAAAGCTTCCTCATAAAATTGAAGTAGGATGCCATGCATTTGGTCCTGAGAGTCATTCAGTATTTTAAATAATGATTTGGATGAAAAGGTAAAACACACGCTAGGCAAGTTTCCCATGATGCAAAACTAGGTGGGATAGCTAATATTTTAGCTAGTACAAAAACAATTCAAAACTATCTTTATAGTTTAGAAACAAGTTTAAAAGAGCATAATGAACTGTAATAGAAAGATGTCAGTGGATCCTCATTAGTGTGATATGGTTATCGAACTGGACAGAAGTATACTTTTCAAATCACTGGAAGTTACAGTTGTACTACATTCTGCATTAGTTGGGTGGATCTGTAGGACCTGTTGTTTTGGACACCATATTTTAAGAGTGTTGACAAACTAGAAAGAGCAGTGAAGATGACTAGGGGACTGGAAATAAACCTTTGAGGAGACAACTGGGAGGATGAATATTAAACGGAGGGGATATGGTAGCATTATATAAGTACCTGAGGAAATGTCATACAGAAGGAAAAGGCTGTTCTGTGTTGTTCCAGAGTGTAGGAACAGAATAACAAATTCCAGAGGATAGATTCCAGCTGAATGTTAGGAAAAACTTCCTGAGAGTAACATCAGTTCAATTGGCAAAGGAAGTAATGTGTTCCTCTCACTTGATATATTCTGGCAAAAAATAGACAACCATCTGTTAATTATGCTTCATTGGATACCTGCATTGGGCAGGGACTTGGACTTCATTTTTTAGTTGGCTCATTCACATCTTAAAATTCTTTAATTCTCAGTAGATAATTATTAATGTTGCAAAAATTAGACTGAAGTTGCCAGTCATAAACTTGCTTGACATGGAGAACAAAACAGTTAACCACCACTCTGCTAATGGTAAATGTGTTTATTTTTGGGGGGAGGAATGGAGTGTGCTGTGCATTGTACCTTAATCTGTTTCCTTGTGTCCCTGCCTCCAATTTATAATTGGGATCAGGCTTGATACTTCTCAGCTCAACATGGTGTTTGCCTTGAGAAGGGGGTAGACAGTGTTTTCATCTATATCTAAGAAGCGTACAAGGTCTGTGTCTTCTAATACTGATGTTAGGAGAATGTAAGAAAATGTATTGCTATTTCCTGTAGTTCTATTGAATGGAGTGAGGTCAAGCACTGTTGCCAATGTTATTAGCAGAATATCCCTAACAGCATCTTTTGAGTTTTCCCATAGAAATCAATGATAGATATTAACTTACACTGGAAAAGTTAAAGGGGTGTACTTATAGACTACATTGAAGTGTGACTTAACCTACATTCTGGATCAAATTCTGGAATAAGATTTTAGCCAGAAGTCATGTGGGAGTACTTTGTTTTTTCCTCTGTCCTTTTAGGATGGAATTGACGTAAGGTAACAGATTAAATAGTGTTCCGTAGTGCCCCTGGTTTGAATATATTAAGATGTATGTGATTGTGTTAAAATAAATGTAGGGAGAGTGTGAATGGATATACTGAGTAATTTGTTCTGAGAGCTAATTGTGTTTCATGTTCAGGACTACTAACAGTAACTTAAAAATTAGTTACGGACTGCTTTGTCTTGCAAGTTAACAGTTTATTCTGGTCTCTTTATTAGCTTTTGTACTGACATTTCTGATCAGTTTGAAAATAATGTACCACTGCAGTACTGTCCACCTGTGATGCCCCAGAAAAATACAGAATTTGCCATTGTTGTTAGTTACATTAATAGCCCTGGTGACTTCTACATTCAGCTGGTAAGTATCACTCAGCATTTTAATGTTTTTGTTCATGTTAGTACTTTTTGCAGTACTTTGTTTTGGATCATAGAAAGGGAAATTGAGTTCTTCTGGAAATTGCTTCTGGAAATTGAGTTCTTTATAAAATTAAATAAGGATTATTTTTCATGCTATTTGTTGCATATGTACTCAATAAAAAAAGATTTTTTAAAATCTCTTACAAGGTTCCTAGAAACATCTTTCAAACACATTTCTTAGTGGCTGCTGTGCCTTCTGCCTTCCCTCATGTTGCAAAATGAAATGCTGTTCTCTTAATACCTTCTTAATTTCAGAATTACTTTTCTGCTCCATAATGCCCAGAAGATAAAGATACCATGTGGCTATTTGTATAGTTTCACTCTGTATGCTTCTCTGAGTGCCACCATTTTGCTTTTTGTGAGAAACTGACACTTCGTTGTGCTTTGAAGGGTAAATCAATCCCACAGGATGTAACAAAATCATATTTTATTAAAAAAGAAAATATAAAGGATTAAAATCTTTTTAAACCTTAAAAATAAAAAGTGCAAAAATTCAGTGTTGAAAGAAATACATTTCAGAGCTGCCCAAACCACAGCCACTTACAAATGAATGAAAACAAGCCAGAACCCAAAGATAGTCATTCAAAATCTCTTCACATGAACGGGACCCATAGCTAGTCATGGGGATATGGATGGTGTGTGTCTGGCATGCAGTTTATATTTACAAAAGTGACTTGGTTGGATTTCACATCTCTGTCCTAATGTCTATTAATTGCTGTTACCTGCTCCCAAATAATAGATGGTTTATATTTTATAATTGGCTATTTTAAATTCTAGGGCTGCACAGCATGGGTCAGCACAAGGGTTGCACTGGCTTTTAAGCAGGATGTTTTGGTTCCATTCCCAAAATAAGCAAGGCTGCAAGTTGAAGTGGGCAAGGTTCAAGAATAAAAGTGTTATTGGTAAACTCTGACAATTAATGTGAAAAATGAAGATAAAGCAAAGAAAAACTTTATTTTTATTCTTAAATGAATGGGATCAGGGCTGGAGGTCTGCTCTGGATCAGCACTGGGTCCTAGTGAAAACTCCAGGGTGCTGCAGGGAAGATCCTTTTTGTGTTCCTTCCTAATATAGTTGGCATCTTATGCTCATTAAGCATGATGAGCTGTTTCAGGGTGGGGCATTGTTTAGGTTTTTCTTCATTTTTGAGATTTGTTAATGTCTAAAAAGGGCATTTCCAGATTATGAGATTCCTTCTCCCTCTTATGTATATAGCCCTCTGTTCCATTTCCATGCCATAGTTCATTCGTTCTTTCTTATCATTCAAATTTCTATGGCTTAGAAAATTTGCTATTGTTTGGTGGTTTAAATGTAATTATGAACTTCTTTGGCTTGAAGGGTAGTTAAGAGGGAAAAGCACAAAATGTGTTTTGTTCACATTTGACCTTCAGAGTTATAGACACCCAATGAAAACACACTACAATGAAACTAGCCATTGAAAGCAAAAATAAAACATAATGTAGAAAAAGATTAGTTGGAAGGGGAAGTAGCATCCATTAGGCCAAAATATGGAGTAGCGAGTGGCTTTTGTTTGGGGTTCAGTTTGAAAGTTGATGTTTGGTTGCCAAGTGTAATTGCCTCAGTTGCATCTTGGTTAACCCTTATATTTCTCTGACTTGAATCTCCTTTCTTGGTATTAGTTACCACCAAATTCAGCTGAAAATGAGGAGTATGGTTATGCAAATTAATATATTAGTGCTAAATGTTAGCATGAAGGAATTAATTTTTTTTTCATTATGGTAGTTAGAACAGGGTCCCGAATTTGCAGCTTTTCTAAGCAAAGTTGAGGAAGTGTATAAAAATGAAGTAGGATTCAGCTTGGAAATCCTTTGTCCAACCCAAGGTCAACCATGTGTAGCCAAATTTGAAGATGATGGAGTTTGGTACAGAGCACAGGTAATTGGTAAGTATCTGGAATACATAATTATTGTGTTTATTTTTTAATGGATCTCTCCTCTCCTGTTCAAAAACTTTTTCCAGTGAAACGTAGTATATTTTGTCTATCCAATATTGTGATTTCTTTATTGTAGTCCAATAATATATTTGTTTTAACACAGTGTCATAGATGCATAAATAGCCACGTTCTTGTCTGGGCAACATGTACAGTGGAACCTCGGGTTACGAACGCTTCTGTTAACGAACTTTTCGGGTTACGACTAGCTCCGGACGCAAAATTTTGCTTCGGTTTGCGAACTCCGCCTCGGGGTACGAACAGGATACGCGGCCATTTTCCCTCCCGTGACATGGTCCGAGGCCGTTTTTCCGCCCCTGACACATGGTCTGCGGCCATATTCCGCCCCTGACACGTGGTCCGCGGCCATTTTTCCGCCCGACACATCCGCAGCCATTTTTCCGCCCGACACGTGGTCTGCGGCCATTTTTCCGCCCCTGACACGTGGTCCGCGGCCATTTTTCCGCCCGGCACGTCCGCAGCCATTTTTCCGCCCGTCACGTGGTCTGCGGCCATTTTTCCGCCCCTGACAAGTGGTCG